AGACTACTGACCATGAAGTTGTCAAGCTGCTTGTAAAATTCACTAATAACATTCCAACAGTGTTTCATCATGAAGCAACTATGTGTTTGGTACATAGAAATAATCTAGAAGGCATCACTAACATTATAGATGAGAGGCTTCAGAGAAAGTAGCTCCTAAGTATTGCAAAAGTCTTATTAATGAAAAATCTAATCTGATACCCAGTAAGGGATGGTAGTGTTTGCAAAGTTTTTATGAAAATGATGTTTTAGTGTCACAAAGATGGAAAACGCAGCATTAGACTGTGCTAATCTTTGGTGGAACCATAAAGGAATATTTTTGCTACACTCTACCATGATTTTTTCTATTTGCTGCCTCTTACTCAGCTATAGTTGCATTTGTGGACTTAATGGACTGATGTCATGGAAGAGACTCTGGTTGTGAGGGTCTGCAACATTTTCCACTGATAAAAAATTTATATATCTATTGCTCGAATATTTGGAATTTTGAACCATGTCTCTTAACATAAATTTTATTTAAGTACATTGTTGACATTTCACTCCAGGGGACGTTTTAAATTTAGCATATTTTCTTTCTTCGTTTTCTTTAAAAATTATCAGATTTTAAATATTTTTCCCCACGATGCTTCCACGATGTATAGGTACATATCCACAATCATACACATTTCTATTGACATAAACACACGATAGTAAAATGATGTCAAAGCATCGAGAAGGCACACAGTCTTATATTACTTATTAGAAAAATATGATCCCTCTGACACTTCATTACTCGTCCAAATTTCTGTTGCTCACAGGATTTGTGAAAATTTCAAAGATCTCTGAATGTGCTGAGCTTTCTCTCACCCTCCCCTACTTCTTGGAGTTCATTGGGGATTAGAAATAATTATCTGCAGAATAATAAAATCATACTAACAGAGATTTATTCCATTTTTTTCCGGAACGGCTGCTCCACCAATAGGGACATGTGCTTACAGGCAAGAGTCTGGCTTGAGAGCAGACGCGATTTATTTCTCTACAAACCAGCCTGCACGTTCTGTTCCTCAATACACGTCCCTACACGTGGCTGCCTTTTCCGCGTGGCACATCACTCTGCTCCGGGGGCTCTTTGAAAGTGAGCCTTTCAAGCTCATGCCCTACAGATCCCTGAAGTGTCTGGGAACTTACCCTTTGCTTCTGGTTGGAAAATGCAATGCTTTGGGGCTGCACAACATTGCTGAGCGATTCATTATGGGGCAGAGAAGTGTCTGGGGTTAGGCAGGCAAGCAACTAACAATCCTTCATTTTGTACACAAAAAACATCAAGATCAATATGTGGGACTTGCAGCATTTACGGAACATAGTGTTTATATTTCCCTCTAGGGAAGGGAGAAAATGCTGGATGGTCTCTTTCTGAGGATGGCTACAATGATTGGCGCTGCTTCCTACTCATTTGGTCGTCTTCTTCCCACTTGCTGGTAGCAACACAGCCACCTGATCTTTGTTAACTTCCTGTACTATATATACCAGAATTCAAATAACTTGATTTTTGATAGGTTTAGCTTCATTGATTGAAGTAACCAAAATCTGGGGATAACTTTATATACCAAAGTGAACAGAGCTAGTTCTGAGAGGCTCTAAGAGGCATTAATGATCCAGGATGTATTCATTAAAATTAGATCTTTTATGAACAAATAGGAGGAGCCCAGAGAAAGAAACATGAGCCAAAAGAAGTATCTACATAGTTTGCTTTCAACTCACATAATCTGTCAGGAATGAAAACGAAATAACATCGCAAAATCTATTTAATGAGTAAATTGTTCCTAGTATAATGCAAATCGAATTGGAGGCAGCAACATTAATGTGGTCCATGTTACATGCCCTTGCAAATATCCTTAACTATGATGTTTTTATAATTTGAAATTCTGAGCAATGTCAAAATGTTGGGTTGAAGTTATTTTTTCTTTGTTCTTTTATGGAAATGACACAGTAGAGGATTGGGAAACTAGATAATCTCAGGAAAACACACAAAACACTGCATCTCCTTTAAGATGAATCGCTGTCAAAAGTGACAGGAGCCAAAATGTCCCTACATTTGCTCACTGACGTGTGCACATTTTCCCAAGTCATCCCTGAATGGAGACGTAAAGAATGTGAATTTGATACCAATTGTTCCCTACATGTTTAAAATAAGGTTAAAAGCTCTAGTATGAGAAGATAATTGACTTAACATGCAATCTTTTCAACAGCTTTTTTAGGGCCTGAGAACCTCGGGTCATTCCTGTGTCACCGTGGGTCCCTCAATCACACAGCCTTAAAGCATTATATTGAAACCATCAATGGGAGTTCTATAAAACCACAGACTTCCGAATTCAAAGATGCCAAATCTTGAGAATGTGAAAGACTGAGATTTTTAAATAATTATTGAATTCTATTTTAGTTGCAGGTAGGTCAGGTCAATTATAGTTGGTTTTAATTAGTACACCCAGAAGCAAGGACAGTGTCTAGAGCACCATATTAGTATTGACAGCATTAGGAAATTGGTCACTTCTTTAGAAAATATCAAAGCAATGGCTTCCAATCTGATATCAGAGCCCGTGGCGACATCTCATCTAGTCTTCAAGATGGAAGAGATAATCGGATTAAATTATGAGTTTCTGTATATAAGGTTTCAACCATCCACAACAAATAAGCAATGAAGACAAACAAAGGCAAACAGCACGCACCTACATCTGATTATACCTCTCTTGACTTACTAAATATACCCAAGGAGTGCATTTTACTACTGCGTCTTCCAAAATACCCACATCTTGCGCTACGTCCTGTTTTATTCCACATCAAATTCAACTACCAGAGATTAAATATCTTCTGTAAACCTTTATTAAACTCTACTTGACTTCCAATGCATAAACAAGCAAATTCAAGCATCAATTATGATCAGAATTGTATATTTAATTCTATTAATGTTGAGTGCAAATATCAGAAACATAAAGTGCTCTCTCTCAGAGAGTTATACCTGAGAACGCCTGTTTTGCCTCTCACGTTCCCATGAGATAAAAGTGTGTGAGAAACTCCTAACTTAAGTTCTTGCTATTCACAATGTTTCCATTGGGTGTAGCTATGATATTAGATAGGCTGATACCAGAGTCTGCATCTTCAGGAAGAATGCCCGGGCATTTGGGGATTTTCACTGGCTCTCTTTGTCTTTAACATTAAGTTCTACTAGTCAGCTATATGCTTTATGGGGAAAGCAAATAAGACAGTTTCAAATCAATCCAGTCAAGAAGTATTTCAATGTCTTTTTCTGAAGAGGAAGAAACCTAGAAAAAACTGAGACCTGTATTAAAACTTGAATAAACACTAATTTCTATATAATTTGCCCATTCTTGATTGACAGGCATCTGTTGGATAAAATGGGATAAATACGGGGAAAATCCTCTAACAATGTAACTCCTTTCTTCAATGCTGGGTTTGAGCAGAGTGCCTTAAAGTGCTTTTTATGCTAAAAGAAAAAAACACACCACACAACAAAGTATGTCTCCTAAAACGCAAGGGCAGCTTACACGCTGAGATGTAAATTGCTAACTCTTTTCTTAACAACACCATATGTCTCCAATAGGATCCAAATGCAGTCGGTTCTCAAGGGGACGTGATGCATGGAAGCGAACCAGACCGAGGCGCAGGCTTCGCTGCGTGTTGGCTCCGATTAAGCAGAGACGCTGCTTTGGATTGCCCACGTCATCCGAGTGTCAGTCTGAAGGGCTCTTCTCCTTTCCTGACATCCTCCCCAAACCAACCCATTCATAAAAGAACCCTGGCCCATCCACAAAAATATTTCTCTTTGTTCAAACTTCCTCTTGTATAAACCTCAGTATATTTTAAGGAATCAAAATGCTCAACCTCTGAAGTTTCTAAAATCCAGCTGAAAAAGATCAAAAGGGAAAACACTGCAGGGCTGAAAGAGTCACATTATTCCCCTGAGAGTCACCAAAAACAAAAGAGCAACAAATAAACCAACATGCATATTTCTTTATTTACTCAGTGCAATCCTTTTTTTTTAGCACCCCTGTCATTTTTTAATGTTTTAAAAAATGCATGAGTATAATTTATCTTTAAATGTACTCACCTAATATTAAGTACTTTCCATAGATGCTACGACCAGGTTAATATCAAGTTAAGGCAGGCATTTCTGCTTAAGCTCTGACAGTGGGCTATATTCATTTTTTGTCTGTTGAGTGTAATTCTTTTTTTTTTAGTGTAATTAATTTTTAAAAATTTATCTTTATTGTTGGAAGTATTATAGATCTTCCTTTTTTCCCCCCATTGACCTTGTCTGACCCCATCCCCCCTGCCAGGCCTTGAGTATAATTCTTAATAGCATCAAGTTATATCATCTTATGATGTATGTACTTAAGAATTTCGCTTTGGGAAATGTGAAACACCCTGGGATAGTCTAGACTGGTGCTCCTCAAAATCTCTCTGACGAATGGATGGTTTCATCAATATGTTAGTAACTGGCATTTTTGTAAAATATGAACTTATGCGCCCGGATTTTATGGCAATGTCTAATTGCTAGAAAAGTTTATAAATGCTTATTCTCACGTTCCGTATTCTTGTCGCAGACGGGTAAGATGTGTTTGGACACCGGTATCAATCTGTGGACTCTACTGTGCATATTGCTGTTCGGAGAGTTTATAGATCAGAAATCAAGGCACCAGTGCTAATGACGGGAGTCATAAACCTCCCTCACTTTGAGGGCATCTTTCACCCCTCTTTGCTGTCTTTTTCTCCTGATTCACTTCAGGGAATGAGCAGCAGATTCAAGAGAAAAGCCAAAGAAGAATCACCAAGAAGTGTGTGGTAGTTTTGAGAAAGATGAGTTGCTGCATAGTCTTAAAAGTCATACATTTATAAACGCGAGCTCTTCCCTCCCAGTGACCCGCCCAGGGCCTTCCCGCACTCCCTCCAACCATAACAATAAACCCAGACACTGTGGAATGATCACTTGGTGGCGTTTCTTACCTGGGATGCCAGGTGGTGTTTTCAGATATTTTCCATTAAAATGTTGAATTACCACTTCACATTTCTCAGTAGACTCCATTCTGGAAAAAGAAGTCAACAGGGGATCATATACTTTTCACGAACTTGTGCATATTCAGGACAATAAATAAAAAACAAAAAGGGAAAGGGAGAAGTCATGGAAAAGCTTGATTTGAGCATTTTACCAGAATTGCCAGCTGTTACCAGGACCACCAGCACCAGGCCAATAGAGTGTCATGGACCCAGCAGGGCCGGGGGATGACTGTACTGAGAGTTGCTTACTGGACGGCTCTGCGCTGAGCCCGCGCTCAGAGGTAATACTGAGACATTACTTACGTAACCTACACAACAGCGTCTGGCAGTTGAAAGTGCTCCAGAAATACCCGTTAAATGTCTAAATTAGCAAACTTGAAAGGTACAGGCTTCGGCATTGCTTTTCGTACCAGGGAGGGTGCTGAGGCCTGGAGAGAGGAGCCACCTTGTCAATAAGTGGCAGAGGCTGGGTCTTAACTGAGACCCGGGGGACACCGAAGCCACGGTGTAACGACTAACCTATACTCCTGAGGGACTTCATAAAACAAGTTTATTTCAACCTCTTTCAGCCTAAATAATGATTAACACAGTAGTGCTGCCATGAGCGTCGTGAATCTTTTCCTGAAAACCCACTGGGTGAAAGAGACAAAAGAGAACTGCTTGGCGTCTGAAATGTGACAGGAGAAAGTAAACAAGCAAACCGCAGGTCCTGAACTTTCTTGATTTTGAATTTTGGACAATCCTTGATTTTTTTATACTAGATATCAATGTTCCTAAACTGGGTTTCTCATGCCAAATTTTGTCATCTCACATAGAAGTTAATGAGTGAACATTTTGAGCTACAGCGTCAGAATTTCAATATTGGTAGTATTACCATATCCTAAGTAGAGTTGGTATCAGCAACATTTAAAAAAAAAATTTAATTGATTTTTAGAGAGAGAGGGAGGGAGAGAGATGAGAAACATCCATGTGAGAGGGAAACATGGATAGCCTGCCTACTGCACACCCCCCACCGGGGTCGAGCCCGAAACCCCTGGCACGTGTCCTGACCAGGAACTGAACTGGCAACCATTCGGCGCGGGGGACAACGGCCAACCTGCTGGGCCACACTGGCCAGGGCTCAGCAACAGTTTAAAAATAATTAACTATATCTGGGTTTTATTATTTTATAAAGTTAGATGGGAAAGATAAAATTAAAGGGTTTATTCTGATTAAAGGGAATTAAGTCCCACAAATAGCACTCTAGAGACAAAAATAAATTTAAGAAACAGGACACATCCATATGAAAGCATATATATGAAATGTGTGAAATTTGTTTAAAATGCAAGTATAATTTAAATTTTCTGCTCTGTTATTAATATGAGCTTTCTTGGAATGGAGAGAGCCCTTTGACACAAGTGGTAAAACTTCTCTACATCTAAATCTTATGTGTGTTATCAGGATATGACCATGTTACATGTAGAGGATACAAGATATGGAAAAATATGTAAACAAATTATACATTTATTACAGCTACAAGAATTGAAATGTGAGAGGAATTCCAGAAGCCAGGGAAATGCCGCAAAGACAGAGGCCAGACGGGCCCTTGAGGAAGTAATTAGGGCAGGGACCTGAGCTGAGCAGGTGAGAGGGCCTGGGTCCTATTAGAGGGGGTAGAGTGAGCCGATCACTGTGGATGCAGTGAAAGATTTGCCTGGGGAAACTTGGAGAAAAGCTAAGAGATGCAGACAAAGCCATCTGAGTGATCAGATTAAAACATTTGACGTTGGTATCACTTAGGACGCTATAATTATTTTGACTAAATTTTTTAAAAATTTCTTTTCTGATGTACATTCATCCCTATGAGGCATGGAACAGACACACATTTTCCTCTATTGATACAGATGACAAATCTATTCCTACCACTCAGATTGGCTCATGGGCACAAGACCTGTGCAGAACCACAGAGTCACACACTTAGAACAAGCCTGCACTTGGTTTAAAACTCTGTTGTCAACATCTTAAAATCCTTAATAATTTCCCAACAAGGGTTCCTGCATTTTTATATTTTACTGGGTCCACAAAATTACACAGCTTGTCCTGCTATGACAAGAAAGTGCAGGAAACAAATTTGACATGAGTTGGTTAGTTTTCATTCATCGGATGTCCCCACATAGGTGTTATTTTGAAAAACATCTGAAGAAGGAATTGATTTTTATGTCCAAATGAAAAAAAAGAAAAAGAAAGAAAAAGAAACTCTAAGCTTAATCACATGGAGTTCTAAAAATTAAAATTATCAAAACAAAGATAGCATTTTGTTCACTGCTTAATCACAGTTTCCCCCAAGTCAGAAGATATTTGGATACGAAACACAAGATGAATCTTTCCCCATCCCAAATATTTTGGAGTAGCTAAGTACAATTTTTCTAACTTCTCTAAGTTTTCTTTCTGGTGGAATCTTTTACAGTAAAGTCTTCCAATTTTCTTTCTTTCTTCTTTTTTAAGTAGGAAACTTCCATTTCTAGGAACAAAAGAATTTTAATTCTGTTCTTTCTCTCTTCCCACAAGATCCACTATCTATTGTCTCTTAGGGAAAATAACCTTCCTTCCTAGCAGAGACATGAATGGGAGAGGAAATGTAAGCCCTTAATTACTACAGATGTTACTTTATGGAATTTTTACTCCAGGAGAGCTACAGAATAAAAATCTTATGCCCCAGAGTCCCCTTCCCTGTTCAAGCTCTCTCTGGGCACTCATCTCGATAAAAGGCAGTTAAGAATCTAAAGCTTGCTTGCAAGAGTCCTACAAATCAAATCTTTTCTCTTTGTCTTAAAACGACATGGAATTCTAAATGAAGACTAAAACTAGATGGGCGTGTGTGTGTGTGTGTGGGTGTGTGTGTGTGTGTGTGTGTGTTCCCTTGTTGATTCTACATCATTGTTTTAGGGAATCCAGAGGAAGCTAAAGAACAAGTGGTCATCCCACTCGACCCACCTAAAATATTTTTGTTCTGGTTTGAAAGGCTCGAGTCTTCCCTTTTGGGTTCTACGTATGATCGTCTTTTCTTAAGACTGTTTTACAGCCACATCAAGCCGGATGGGGGGCCGTTTCTGTGAGCACAAAGAAGCAGGGTAGATTGTTCACTTTAGAATCATTCACATTTAACTAAGTCAGTGTCTACAGTGAGGCTTTAGAGACTCCCGTCTCTGACTAAATGCAATGAAAGTCTGTTTCCTATCGCTCCCGGCTCTTAGTGTCAAACCGTGTTGCGCCGCACCACCCAGCAGTGGCAATTTCATTTTCATACACGGGGCACATTTTAACAAGGCCAAACAGCCCCAGCAAGGAAGGCGACGCAGGAACTGCCAAGGGGAAAGGCTCAGGGTTTCTCATGCATTTTTTTTGTGGGAACAGAACAAAAGTGAGATCCACGGAGCTGGGGGGAGTGGGAGGGAAGGAGACTGCATTTGAATAGCTACCTCTGAAGAATGTGCCCATTTTCTTCTCAAGTTTCACAATTAACTGCTTTGAAACGCCAGCTCGGGCTATCTGCAATCTGGCACACGCTTCAGTTGAAACTGACACTGGCATTATCAAGTAGGTCTGAAAAGGCGGCACGCCAGACAAAGCTGCCTTGACATGTCCCTTTCAGACGGCCCGAGTCACTACAACCCAATCTATTCTTCCTCGCAGGTACCTGAACCCCCTCGCGCCCCTGGAACAGCTCGCATGCCGGGCCAGCCATTCACCCGATGAGACATTAATTAGGTTCTTACAAGGCTCTAATCATTGTATAAAGCTTAAGGGTTTTCTGTTAGGTCTGGTGTTTAAATATAAACACACATTAAAGGCCCCGTTAGACATTCTTTCTTGTCTCGGTGCTTAGGAACCTGGCTTCCATCATTCAAAACGCACCATGGAATTGTGATTTTTTTTAACTCCCCCCCCCCC